AAGAGTTTCCAAATTGAGAAAATATAGGGAGAAAAAGTAAATGTAAATATTTCAATTCTGTTTAAAAAGCATATTTTATTAATAAAACATAAAAAGAATCAGCACTGTTTTAACTAAAAAGTCATTAAAACCATGATTTCACTTCATCATTTCAGACAGTTTCATGTAATTGAGTCCTATTTTTCATAAACTTGGTAGGTGACCATCACCCTGCCCTCAGCTGCCAGAGCTGTACTGGCTGGAGTTCTGTCCATCTGAGCCTCCTGGAAGACACTGCCACTGCTCAAACAATGCTTTTGGGAGATACCAGTGTCAAGCAGCTTAACTAACGGTGGATGGCAAGATCTGAAATAGTTCTGGTTAAAGCTCTGCTGAGAATTATGATCTCTGAAGATACCATAATTTTAACATAAGAATGGGAATATGACCAACAACAGTATATCCTGAGACACAGCAGATCTTAGAAATTCCACGCAGTTTTTTAGAATGCATATTAAGAATCCATTCATACAAACATAATTCAAAAGGTTATGCACCATTTCTTATTTGTTAATACTTTCCATATAGTTTTTTTTCTTTTTGTTTTCTTTTTTGTTTTTGTACTAGGGATCGAACTCAGGACCTTGCACTTGTCAGGCAGGTGCAGTGCCGCCGAGCTACATCCCTGTTCTTTTTCATATAGTTTAACGAGTGAAAATAAACCTAAAATGTATCTTGGACTTCCAAGGATGGGCTCTCTGGAAACCCCAAGGTTAGTTCAAGATAAAATGCTTGTATGTATTTATTCACTTTTTCATTTACATTTGAGACAGGGTCTCACTATGTAGTTCAGGCTGTCTTCAAACTCATTATTTAGCCCAGGCTGGTCTCGAATTCGTGTCAATCCTCCTGACTTAACCTCCTAAGTACTGGGATTACAGATGTATGCCACCAAGCTGGCTAAGATTTAATTTTAGAATTTGATTTTGGGAAGCTTTTAAAAATATCAAATAACAATTAAAAATAGAATCTCAAATCATTACTCCAAAATGACAAAAGGTTTCCTAGGCATGAAGGACAGAAATTACCACGTAATCTTTGTTTTCCAGGTCAGCTGTTGACAAGGAAAAGCCAAGCCTTTCAAAGACCCCGAGGAGGGCAGATCAGCCCCGTAGGAAACTGCCTGCCCATGCATGTTGCAGTTCAGGTGACCCCAGTACACTTTCAGTATCAGTGCTCAATTAAAAATACAAGTAAAGGGATGGGGACTCAGCCTTGCAAGCCCAAGATCCTGAGTTCAATCCCCAGTACCAAAAAAATAAAAAAAAACAAAAAAACAAAAAAAAACAAAGACAAAAAAAACAACTAAGACGTAAAGCACTTCTAATTTTAGCTAACTTGATCCCACATACAAATTTTCTTGCAAAATTCATCCTCCACAAAACCTTCCACAAAACCATTTTCTTTGTCAACAAAAACATGTCCACATATTTCACAGCCTCCTCCAGAAAGCCTGCCTTCCTCCTCTCCCAATGTCCTTTCTAGTTTTTGTCCCCATATGGGCGAGAAAAGGAATCCTTGGTAATTGTGAACCAGTATTCCGTACACTAACACCATTTCCTTGTTTCTAGACATATGTAGTTTTTCATACTCATCAACAGACCCCAATATGTTGATTCTTTATTCCATATAAAAACATGACACTGAAATTACTTAAACTTTAATCTTATGCTTAATAATTGCTTCAGCAATCCAACTTATCTAGAAATGACCCAGACTGCCTAATGAATACCTACTCCTTATTTTACAAAACATGTCCTTAAGATTTTCTGTTACTGAAACAAATTTTTGAACTTATTAAGAGTTTTTTAAAATAAATGTTTATTCTTTTTGCATTTGCCTAATTTACTTGTTTTTAATGTCTGAGCTGCTCATGGAAATTTTAGTTGAACAGGATGCGAGCTAGAAATGTGGAATCAGAGTTCATCAAAAAAGACTTGAATTTTTAGACACAATAACGACTCTAAGAGAGAAGGTAAAATAGCTACAACCAACCAACCAACCAAGCAAGAGACCAAGCAACGAAGCAAGCAGCCTATTTACCAAGAGTGATAACAAAAACAGAGGGCTGAAGAGTTCTAAACAGGAAGAGGAGAGGCACTGGGGAGACAAGACACTCAACTGATAGTCATGTGTTAATGTTACAGGCCAACTTTTATGTTGTTGTTTTTGAGACAGGATCATGCTTTGTGGTTTAGGCTGGACTTGAACTCAAGGCAGTCTTTGTGCCTCAGCCTCTTGAATGCTGGGATTGCAGGAATGTGCCACTTAGCTCAGCTATGCCCAAATATTTTGACACCAGTAAGAATGTTACAGAGGAGAAAATGTGGTTATTCCCATGGAAACAGAATGTGCAATATGCTTATCTTCAAGTTTTCTTGTGTTAGCTGGAAGGAACTATGGGTAAAGAGTAAAACATATATGGTCACTTAGAGCTCAGTTAAACCATGGGTCAAGAGGAAGGGTCTTGTTTGAAAAAGGCAAACCAAAGACAGATGCCCCTGCCTGGAACATAGGATTATGTGTGTTCCCTGGAGAGATCCCACCTTCTCTCTGGGGAGCTGGCTCTCATCTAAAAGCTCTGACAATTACCCCGTCTTTCTGTGAGTGTTGTCTCTGGCCCACTTATGGGCAGAGCACAGTCAGCCAGGGAGCCCCCAGCATGGGAATGGAAATGTTCCATGGGAAATGTCTTTCAGAACTGGAAAAGATAAAGTAAAGGAGCTTTAGCGAATTAGAAACAAATGGAAAACATTAGAAAATATTAGGAAAACAGGAAAGAGAGCCATGGCTCTTGCAGGGTGCAAAGCTACTTCAGGTGGTACTCACTGGAGGAGCAAGATGTAGTCTGCCCTTCCAGAGCCTGGCCCACCTGAGGGTTAGCCAGCCTGGAGCCCAGTACACCAGCAGGCTTTGCAGTTAGAATCCGGCAACCTGGGCTTTTCAGTGCTGACAATAAGCAAGAACAAAAGATTTACTTAGTACCTAAATGGTAAGCTCTGTGTATGCATTGTGTTCTACTACTTACTATAAAGAGTGATTTATTAGTGAGAAATAGCCCCAATATATTATCTTTCCCCAGGAAGCAGCTGGTTCAGAAATCCCCTCCTCATTCCCACCCCAACAAGGATGGAAAGAGGAGACAGAGATATGCAACAGTGTGTATTTTGCTTACCTGCACCATGAAAACTTGAATTCTTATCCCCAGGTTGGACAGGCTTAGTGATCCTACCACCACCACCACCAACACACATCAGCTACTGAGATCCCCTGGCCAGGCACCCGTCCTCCTGACCTCAGCCCTGCCCTGCCTCTTAGGCTCCTGCAAGGACATTGGAGAAGAGACTCAGCCCCGATGAGACTGCGAGTTCCTAAGAAAATGTCCTAGGACAAGTGAGAGCAGATCTCACAGAGACACGATCATCTCCTGGGCTCTGCAGTCAGTGCAGGCTCCCGGGCATACTCTGTGTTCACCTGAGCCCATTCTGTTTAATTTCAGGGATAGTGAAGTACAGTTTATCGACTTGGAAGGTAGAGCCACTCTCCTATTTATGTTCACGTGGATAACTGTTGGGCCATGTGTCCACTGTCTTCTATAAATAGGGCCCCGTGTGGTGATCCAGCTCAGGTCCATCCACAGGGAGGCCGGCGTCCAGCCTGGCCATGGTGTGGCCAAGCAGGGATGCCTGGGCGGAGGTGCCAGGGTGGAGATTGTCTCCAGGGCCCTGGGCCTGCTTTGGTCAGGAAGTGAATCAGCTGCCTTCACAGTGCTGTCATAGCACAGCTGATGGCCAGGAAGGCACCTAAGCATTCTGTCCTAAGAGAGTCTTTGGGGAAATCAGGCAGGGCAGGAATGTTCTGGAAAACATGCTTTCAGAGAAGGAAAGGAAATCAGCTGTGTTGGAGCAGGGGCTGCAGTGCTGGGCTGGGCTGCCCAGGGTTGTGTTGCATGGAGGCCCAGTGTTGGTGTGGAGGTGGGTGTCAAGGACAGCACCGTGGACCATGGCGATAAGAGACAACGTCTATCATGTGGCCCTGTTAGGTGAAGGCTCAGGTAGCACATGCTAGGATTCCCAGGAAAAGAAGAAACTGCCTTGGACCCTAGCACACAAATCCTGCTGGCTTCTCAAACTTCATCCACCAGACCTCCCTATACTATGAACCGATTCAGAGGGTCTTAAACTCCCCTTTCCTAGGGTGGTCACAGAACCTCTGATCTTACCTTTTTGTCTCAGTGCCGGCCATAAGCAGACTCTGACCGGCACTGTGAGAGCAGATTGTAAAACCTGATCTCCAGGATGTGGCCGCACCCTGGAGGGAGGTCTGTGGCTCAGAGGCCAAAAGAACCGAGCAGACAACAGGCCTTGTTGGGTCCTGACCCCTTCTGTCACGCTGGCTCAGACATTTGGTCCAATGCCATTTAAACATGGTTGCCATGCCTCCACCATGCTTATGCAACCAGTCACCAAAAACCCAAAGGAAGAGAGTTCATGGAACACAGATGGACCTGCAATGAGGTGGCCCTGGGGTGCACAGAAGCTGTGCGCTCCACGACTCCCGTGTCTCTTTTCTTTTGCCTGGCACAGACATGCTTATTTCCTGCCCTTCACTGATAGATTTTTACAAATCTAAGGTTTGAAACAACCCTGTGCTGACAAAGTCTATGAGTGACATTCTTTCAGCAGCACATGCTTCCTTCCTGTCTTTTTTTGGTAATTCTCATAATATTTCCAACATTTTCAATAGTCTGTGACCTTTGATCAGGGATCTTTGATATTGTTATGGTAACTGTTTTGGCGGGCCACCAGTATGCCTGACACAGAGGAAGGTTTTTGTGCTGGTGCCTCCACTGGGTCCCCATCTGCTCTACATCTCACTGAGACCCAGAGGTCCCAAACCAAGTGGGCCTGGCTCTCACCAGCTCACAACCTTCCCCCTGCATCCCAAGATCACACCACCTAGGAACTCTTGCAGGTTTTTATTGATGAAGAAAGGGACAGCCATAGGTGCCACATACTGGTGTGGTTAAGATTGAGTAGAGGAGGGGAGAGCATGTGGGTGTCCACGCTGCCCTGAGAGCCTGCTGTCCTGGTCCCAGGTGCTGGGGCACTGAGGAGACTGTCAGGGCCAGGATCCATCTTGGGAAGGGGATGCCAAAGGGGATGCAAGTAAGGGGTGGTCAGTGTGGTGTGGCCTGGCAGAGCCTAGGCATCGTGACAGCTGGACTTGGTGAGGGAGATTTTGTTTGCCCAGGGCACAGTGTAGATCTGGAAAGAGCAGACGGCATTCTGCAAAAGGAAGAGGGAAGGACAATCAGTGGGGTTACAGGAGAAAGGGAAGTTGCTGGCCACATGACAGGGAGGAGTGGAAGGGAAGTCCCTATATTCTGCTCTCTCTCTCCAGTTTCCAGGGATCCCAGGCCCTTGTCCCCCTCGTCACTGCCCATGGAGCAGCCATACAGGGCCAGAAGCCCAGAGGGCACAGGACAGGGCATGCACACACTACCCCAGCTCCTCCATTTCAGCCCAGGCCAGCACTGACAATGCACCTGGGAGAACCAATGGGCCTGGGAGAACCAGGCCTGGGGACACTGAAACAGGTGGGGTGTGCAGGGTGACAGGAACTCAGCATAGAGCTTTGGCCTATAGGGATCCACCTGTCAGGAGACACTGGAGGCTCAGGACAGCACAGGGCTCAGCCCTCTCAGGCCTGACCTGCTCAGTGGAGTCCTAGGTAGGGCTGTGCCTGGGACTCAGCAGAGCTTTCTGACTCCAGCATCAGCCCTGCTGCTGCCTCTTCCAGCTCAGCAGGAGCACCCAAAGGCAGAGGTCACTTCCTAATACCTCACTTCCCAGGGTCCCACTAAGCACCCAAATCAATCCTGTGTGCACACCCCTCCCCCACTAACCTATGGGTACACTGATGTGCATATATATACACTCACACCCACCCCACACCTGAGGTAACTACTCCTGAACCACCATACTCCACACATACACCTCCTCACTTGACCCACAAGTATGCACACTCAACTTCCCACACAACACACACTTGTGCACATCCTCCTCCACACGACACACATGCACATTCACTTCCCACACCACCCATGTCCGTGTGCACATTCACCTACACACAGCAACATGTACTTCTTCACATGTATCTGCACTCAAGTACTGCACCCCCAGAGGTACACATGCATGCCCGTGCACACACACACACAGACTCACACAACCCCTACTTCAGAACCAGCCCCGCCCACAGCAGGAACATACCCTCTTCAAGTGCGGCTCTTCATGGAAGGGACAGTCAGTCAAGTTGGGCTGGGACTTGGTGCATGTGGTTCTGCCGATCTCTACTTCTAGGAAGTAGTTCACACCAGCCACAAGCTAGAGTGGAAAGAGCAGGATTCACTGACAGCTCATGCGGTTTGCACACTCACAGCTACTATTTCATTTGACAAGTCAGTATGTTTGCCCAGGGCTCAGGCCTGCATTCATGAGCTGCCAAAGCCATCACCCATGAAGCTTGAGCCAAGTCTTTGCTGCAGGATGGCTGCAGGCCCTACTTACAGCTTGTTTCTTCCTGAGCAACTGAAACCAAGTGTCTCTTGCAGCCAGTAGAAGAAAGAGGAAGAGAGCAGGCAAAAGCTGGGACTGTACTCCCTTATCTGGACTCTGGGAGGGAGGCTGATTTGGGGAGCAGCCAGGGTGATGACTGAGTACTTCCTGTCCAGAAGGCAGGGTGGGTCCAGCCCTGGCTTTGTGCCCACACAGGATGCACTAAACCCTGTTCCAGGGGAGCTGCTACCTGAGGACCAAACATAGCTGATCTCTCAGACTGTCCTCTAGCCACCCAACTCCTTTTCCTTGGCTTAGCAGCAGAGGGCACCGTGCTGCCCCACCTCAGGGCCTTTTTGGGGAAGTGTTCCCAGGTTGTCCCTCCCTCGCCTGTCTCAGTTTGCAATGGAGAACAGAATCCACCCTGTTCTGGCCCAGGGCAGCCCAGGAAGGACTCATTAGCACCAGGAGAAACAGAGGGCAGCAACCCAGGACAGGGCTCTGGACTGCACCCTGTGCAGCCAGGGCAAGACCCAAGGTCCTGTCAAGACTGATTTCCCCACCTGTGAGCTGAGGTCAGGTGATCTATAATTCCCTTGCTTCACCCCAAGGTTGTGTCACCCTGGAGAGATGGACCATGGCAGCAGGAAGTACATGCCATGTCCATGGAGGAGGTCAGCTGGTCACTGTGGGAGAAGACAGGGCCACTCCCACTTCCCTGGATGTTCATAGAGGGGGAACTGAGCTCTACACACTACTGTGCACACAGCACTTTTGTGGTGCTGTCCCTTTGTTCCACTTTGCAGGGGGCACAGGCCACCAGGTCTCAACCTGGCCTCCTTCACTACAGGCCTGGACAACCAGTCTCCACTGCCCAGTACAACTCCAGCAGGGACAGAGGCAGGGTCCAGGGTGGCCTCTCTACCCTGGGCTCTTGAAAACCCACAGCTTCCGGCCACTGGGGACTGCTCCGGGAGCCCCCACCCTGCAGCACAGGCTCTTAGGACACAGGGAAGTCTCAGCTGAGGGCCTGGGAGGAGGACCTGCTATTCAACGTGCCTACCCTCCAGGACACATCTGTCACCCAGGCTCAGAAATCTGCACAGTTACCTACCTAGTGATGGGGACACAGCTGAGCAGTGGGTCCTTAGAGTTCACCAAGTGATGTCATACAGAACACTCACAAGGAGAGCTGGCATCAACATCACAGTCGTATCATCTTAGGGATACCCTTACACCCCCATCTGTCCTTCCCTAGAACCCCCCTGCTGCTTATGACTATTCCCCCAGCTGGCCCAACCCAGACAGGCCTAGGTCCCGAGCACAGAGCAGCTGCTCTGGGGATGGACTTCAGGGCACAGGAGCGTCCTCAGTAGGCATCATCCACACCATGTGAAGTTCTGTGGGTGTCTGAGTGTGAGTGTGGCTTCCTGAGGTCAGCCTCGTCCTGGGCATGGAGAGAAGGTCCTTATGGGTGAGCAGTGTACACAGGACCACACAGGTCCTGCATCCCACAGGACCAGGAGAATCCACACATCCACATGCAGCTCATGCGCTACGGGGAGTCAGGGGCAGGGCCCACAGGGCAGGGTCCAGGAGGCCCTCTGCTCTTGCCTGATCTGTGCTGCAGATCTGAGATCTTGTCAGAGCTGGGAGCTAAAGGACAGGTGCATGGAAGTTGTGGGAAGAGAGAAGAGGTAAGGGGTTCCTGTCCCTGCTGCGGTCATCTGGCTCAGTTTACAGGGGCTCGGGCCTAGGAGGTGGTTTTAGGGACTCAGCCGGGGGACTCTGATCCTAGCCTGGTGGCTCTGCTAGCTGGGGTTGGAACCAGGTCTAAGGGTCAGGTGTCTCCTGCAGTGACCCCTAGGGTTCAGGACAGGCTGCATAGGAGACTATGTGCAACAGCAGGAAGGGCCCGGCGGGCGGATCAGGAGGTCAAGGCATGCAGGCTGCACACACACACACACACACACACACACACACACACACGCATACGCACACGCACACGTACCTGCTTGCGGGCGCGCAGCACCTGGCGCGCGCGGCTGTGGAAGCGGTCATTGCTTGCCTTGTTGTACTCGCTGAGAGCGAAGTCCAGCGCGCGCCGCACTCCCGCATCACTCGCGTCCGCCTCTTCCAAGCCGCCCAGCAGGCGCGGGGGTTTCCCGGACTCCGCGGGCAGCGACAGCGACAGGACGGTGACCAGGGTGGCGGCCAAAAGCAGGGCAAAGCGCGCCATAGCTGCGATCCGGACCTGGACTTGGGGAACAGCCCGCAGCTGGGCCTTTATCCGGACGCGCTCCGCCCCTTCCGGCCGCGCCTCCGCCTTCCGCTCCGCCCGCTTCTCCCCGGGAACAGTTTCTGCAGAAAAGGATAAAAAGAGCAGTCTTGGCTTCAGGAGGGCCTCCGAGGTCAGGGAATCCCCAGAGCAGAGGTTCCAGGAAGACCTAAGCCTTCCCTGTCCTGGGGAACTTCTCTGCCAAGCAGAAGCGAGTTCCCCTTTACTTGGGAAAGGACTCATGATCAAGAACTACTCCCAGCCGGGTGGTCCGGGCCAGAGACGGGGCACAGATGCCTGAGCCTATAGGGGACACCTGGCAGGCCCCAGCAGAGCTGTGACACCAACTTATGTGTGGCTTTAAATTTCCAGTAGCCACCTTAGGGAAGTATAAAGAAACAGGTGAGATCATTTTAATAAAATGTCTGTTTAACCTTTACGCCAAATGTCATTTCATGATACAAAATGATTTTTATTTTTTTAAATTTTATTTATTTATTTTTGGTACCGTGAATTGAATTCAGGTCCTTGTGCTTGCAAGGCAGGCCACCGAAACACTGAGCTAAATCCCCGGCCCTACAAGATGATTTTTTAATGAGGTGCTTTATACTGAGTGTGTGTGTATGGGGGGGTGGTCTCTGGAATTTGTGGGTGTTTGTGATCTGCAGGGCAGAGGTCCGTGGTGACTGTCCCCATTTCTAACCCTGTGGCTCCATGTGGTGGCTGAGGCCCAGTTTCAGGAAGGGAATATTGAATGGGGTGACCAATACTCCAGATGATGGAATCATGGGAGCTTTGCTGGCAGGAGATGGAAGGACTGGGGACAGCCAGGGCCTCTGGACACTGGCTGGGGGACTCTTGGGACCCAAGAGGATGCAGTCTTGCTTAGACCTGGGCGCAGAGCCAGCAGAGGGCGCAGCCAGGGAGAGACCTGTGGCAGGGGCTCCCTGTCTTAGGAGCAAGGAACCAGGGTCTCTCTGGCAGGGGCAGGAATGATCTGCTATCTCTGCCTAAATGCTGGGATGGGGAGCAAGGTGGGGGCGGGTGACCCTGCTAGGTGAGGGGGGCAATGAAGGGTGCACAGCCTGCTCCTCCTCCCCTCAGGGAGCCACAGTGAAGCTCTACTCCTCTGTCTCCGAAGGACAAGTCGATTGAGTGTTTATACACAGGGACACACCCAGTGTCTCCATCCAGACTGAGGGATTTAGTAAACCACACCCAGAGTGAACCCTCAATCAAGATCCAGAGTGGTCAGCACCTGGCCAGCCCTCTGGTGCCCTGCGGCTTCAGGTCATGGCCATCTGGCCCTGGATCCTGGTCTGTCCTGGGCTATGGTTCGCTTCTGTTACTGAGCTTCCCGGGGATGGACTCACCAGGAGATCCCCTGTGCCTTTCCTTGGCAGCCACTTTCTCTTGATCTCTTTGTTTTCTCCCCTTGGCTTTCTCCTGGTCTTGATTATAAAATACTGAGGAGGCATTCTCTTTTTTTTTTTGGTACCAGAGATCGAACTCGGGACCTTGCGCTTGCCAGACAGGCAGCAGAACCACTGAGCTAAATCCCTGGCAGGAGGCATTTCTTATTAAAGTATCAAGTGGAAAAAAAACCCAAAAAAACAAAGAAAATAATATCCAGACAACAGCAAAATTCTGTTGCTGTTGTGGTACCTGGCACCATTTTTTCTATTAGCCTCTTAATCATCATCTGGAAAGAGAACATTCTAGAGTAATATCATTAAATGTAGCTCTGATAAAGCACGGTCCCTACTATGTATCATAAAGCAGGTACTAGATATTTTACATTCATAGAGGTATGATACAGTACTGTCCTACATCAATAATACTAGATTCAGTTTTGGTTTGAAATTTACTTTGTATGCAAATAAGATTGCTACCCCTTTTTTTTCTGGGCTCCTGTCACATGGAGAATTGTTTTCTATCTTTTCACTTTCAGTCTATGGGCTTCTTTTTGCACTAGGTGTGTTTCTTGTATACAACATATTATTGGATTTTGCTTCTTATTCCATTTTGCCAGTCTATTTCTCTTGATTGGTGAGTTGAGGCCATTGACACTGCTGGTTATAACTGATATGTACTGACTTATTATTGACATGTTATTGGCCTTTTGTTGACTCTTTTTACTTTTTCACCTTCTTTTAATTTCTTGCCTTGCCTATTTGATTTGCTCTGTTGGGCCTCATGGTGTTGTTGCCTTCATTGTCTTTTTCTAGGATCTTGTTTAGAATTGCTTGTAGTGCTGGTTTGGGGAGGGGAAGAGGGGGTGAAGGAGGGCAGGGACAAGGGGAAAAATGAGAATCAAGACCTATTATGTAAAGGTACAGAATCCCAATGATGAATGTAACTGTATTGTATACCTAGATTGTCCCAATAACCTCAATAAAAAGAAAAAAAAAAAGTATCAAAAGTATCAAGTGAGCTATCTGTAGCAAAAGCTATCTTTTTGTCATCTGGGGCTGACTGGGTAATAAACTTGTCTTTAAGGATGATCTGTCCTTCCATCAAATCAAGAACTAGGGATGTATGTTTTACAATGTCTTTTGTAAACAATCTAAGAAGACAGCAGGGTCTTCATTTTTTTCCTGATAGTCAATAACCTAAAATAATGGAGGGGCTTATTTTTTGTCCTTTTACACCTTCAAAAATACATGCCTGAAAATGTCTTCTATTCCAATTTCTTGAATGATTGGCAAGCCAGTGAGGGTCTTTCATGGGAACTTCTTGTGTTCCAATAGGACCCAGTTGTTCCCCAGATTGCTTGTCTTCTGGTCTTTTAAAATTAACAGTATAATATTCATCCCCAAATGTAATAGCAGCTTGTAGTGCTGCTTGTCTTTCACTAGAAGTCATTGTTTGATTTAAGAGTAACATTACATCTTTCCAGTCTAGCCCATACATTTGAGTGAGTTCTCTAAAGAATTCAGTGTATAAATCTGGGTCATTCAAAAACATTCCTAGACCTTGTTTGATCTGTCTGAGGTCATGGAAAGGAAAGGACATATAAACATGTATGGTGGCTGAATTTGTCATTGACTTCCTGTGGCTTGTATTTATATTTTAAACACAAATAAGGATCTTCTATTAATGCAAGGAAAACATGAACATAATGCAATTCTGACCATTTTTTCCTCTCTTACGGTACAATTCTAATTGTGAGATAGTATCATAATCAGTACTTCCCTATGCATTCCATTTTGGCTCTAGGTGGTGGGCAAGCAACGCACTAAGGCAGAAAATTACTAACCTGCTCTTTCTCAGTATGTGAGGGTTGAAGGTTTTCCAGTGTTTAAGAATACATTTCAATGTGTGAGAGGTTAGGATATGGAGTTTCCCATCTGAAACAAGATAAACAAACTGTTGTCCTTTTACGTTTCTGCTTCACTCCTATGCCCTTGAGCCATTCCCCAAGTTAGTTTCACTCCATGACAGATAGCTGTCTGTCTGGACAGAGACTAAAAAGATAAAGCAGACTGAACTGTCTACCTTTTTACCAGTGTGAGATCTTATCTTCCTAGAAAACTCATGTTCTTACTCCTGTAGGTATTCCTAAAGCACAAATTGCAATTGATTTTAGCCATAACAATCATGTTTAGAGAAGTAAACATTGCTGGCAAATCCAAAAATCAAGAGATCTATACCACTACTTTCTGGTTTTTTGAAAGAGACTGAGGAAAATAGGTCAGCGGTCAAATAAGAGCACTTTTTTTTTTTGGCCTGTAAAAGATCACATCTAGACAGGTCTGTCTAGTGACCTAGGCAAACTTCCTTAGCAACAAGACAAAGAAAGACATACATTAGGGCTAGGGATGTAGCTTAGAGGTGCTGCACCTGCCTGGCAAGTGCAAGGTCCTGAGTTCAATCCCTGGTACTGAAAGAAAAAAAAAAAGATATACATTGTTCAAGGTCCATTTTAAAATCACTAAGTATCTGAAGTTTACAGATTAAATTTGTGTTCATTACCTAGCAACCATAATTCACGTTAGTGAAGGCACATCTATCAGTTTTCTACATGCACATGAAAAGAGAAAGCCTGACTAAAATTCCCTTTTATTCTAGTTAGCTTATAAAAAACACAAGTGTAAGTCACTATCTGATTGCCATTTTTCTCTGTGTCATGACAAAACAGTTGTTGTACGTTGCCTTAGCCTGACTTCCTGGAAGGAGCAGTCTGACTACAAGGGCTTTCCAAAGTTAATTCTCAATGAGATGGAGAAACAAAAGTCTAAACTACCTAATCCCCCAAAAAATCATTATATAGCATTTTACATGTGTACAGTAAAAGTTTCGAAGTCCACCACCTATTAGTGAATGTATGTTCCTCCCCTACACACATAAATGATGAAAACCAGACCAAGAAAGGGGTGGGGGAGAGAGAGAGAGAGAGAGAGAGAGAGAGAGAGAGTTGGGATTCTCTCTTAAACTTATTAGAGATCCTTCCTTTCTCTGACTTTTTGTTCCTCTGTAAGAAAGGTGTAAAGTAGCAGGGAAAAATCAGAAATGAGACCAGGAAAGGAGGTCTATTCTTCTCATGCTCTTGGTGAATTATGGAAGAAACTCGCTCCTAAGTCATCAAGCTCAGCATGGAAAGGCAAGAATGGGGAATCTCAAGAGCTAAGATTGCTTCCTCACCAGTGAATGATCAGATTAGAAAGGAAATAGAGGCAGAGTGGGCCCAACATTTGCTCTGGAATATAGAGTAGGATTGAACTGGAGTAGCTCAGTGAAACCTGTCCCCAAAATTTTAAGAATGGCCACCAACCTATCTTCTTTTAACTGGTGTATGGTTTCCCATGATTTATTAATAAGCATGTGTATTTCTTAAATATAAACTATATCTCATACCCATTTTACAGCACTTTCTTTTCTTTCTTTCTTTTTTTTTTCTTTTTTTTGGTACCAGGGATCAAACTTGGGTCCTTGCATTTGCAAAGCAGACAGTAGAACCACTGAGCTAAATCCCTGGCCAGATACAGAATTTTCTAAGTTTACTTTAGGTACCATTAAAGACTTCTAGGTGGTCGTCTGACACTACTTTTTCTCTAGTGCTATTGTCTAACAAAACAAAGAATGCTAGCAAATTTGACAACTTTAGCAATTAAGTCCAAATGCAATATATACAAAATAAGGATAAATGTAATTTTAACAAAAGACAATGCATCATAAGAGAAACAAGCAGTTTGCAAAGTTTCAGATGTACAATCTAAAATTTAGGATAATTTTGAAACAAAAGCCAGTGTTAATGAACCAAAGGCAGAATTTTTGAAACAAAAAACAGAATCTATGAAATAAAATGCTAGAACCTATGAAACAAAAGCAAACTTTTACCTCCATCCAATTTTTTCAGCGAAAGATCTCCAAATGATATAGGGCACCAAGCAATCCAAATAATGTAAATAACCCAAACAAGGGAAATAACAACCAACCTGTTAGATATCTGAAACACTAAGCTCATATTCTCTAAAATCAAGGAATGAATTCTAGGAACAATGGAGTTTAAGAGTAGGAAATATTTTAGAGGGAAAGATGGCTCCTGCCTGAGAGGAACAGGAAGGCACACTCAGAAAGTGGGTTATCCAGGGCTCCACTTCTCAGGGTGTTATTATGGGCAAACCCATGAGGTGGGGTATTAGAGGCTCCCCAGTCACCTGACCAAGGGTACAGTGGATGGATTAAAAAGACAAGACAAGACCTTGATGCATAAATGGGGGTCCCAGAACAGTCAAAACTCTTGTCTGGCTAAAACACTGTCCCCTGGAGCTTAGCACTATTTATTGATCATGCAGCTTCTAGAAGAGGTAAGAGGAGGTACAGGGAACAGTGAAATGGACAGTACTGACCCGAGAAGGGTCCTAGTAACAAGGGAACAAGATATTCTAGTAAGAACAGATCATTGATTAATGGGAAATTTGTTCCTTCCCATGGATTGATTTTTGCCTCTGTAGGAGTTTTCTGTATGTCATGTTGCTCTTAGCTGCACTATTGTCTTGCCATCCAAGATGTCACGGTGTCATGGATCATTGAGACCTTCACTGTGACCAAACAATGTGGGGAGTTGTTCCTCTCCCACACACCAACTGCTGGCTCTTTAGACAGGCATTGTGGGCTAATAGGCAGACTTGGACTTTTAATTTGAAAAGCCAATTTGTGGATTTGTAGCTCTCTCAGAGTGGTCTCCATCAGTGGGATGGGTACAAAGTAGGACAAAACTACAGTCAACCGATAGATCCAATGGAAATTCACAAAGTGGGTGTGAGGTGGGACAAAACCATGATCAACCAGTAAGATTACAAGTACAGTTGCCCAGGTAATATTGATTAACTGGGGATCAAATGGGGAAATAAGTCACATAGCAAGTGTACATAGAATGAACATGGAGTTTTCAGAAAGCAAGTGGGCTAGAAAGGTTTTGGTCCCCACTTAAAGTGATTGATGTCTATTTAGAATATTATCTCTGGGGGAAGTATGTGAGTGTAGTACTTTTTCTTTTTGAGTCATGACATTGAGTAGATAGCTTTTTATGTTTTGTTTTGTAACAGGGATTGAACTCAACTCCTTGAGCCTTCAAGGTAGGCTGCGGCACTGTTAAGCTAAATCCCTGGCCCAAGATGGACCTCAATTGTCTTCTGTTTTGACTTTCCGAGGGCCTGGGCCCTATCTAACTGCCTAACATTCCTATCTAACATATAATTAGCTTAGCTGTCTACCACAGGGGGCTCAGTTGTGAGTTATGCATGGACCTGCGTGTGCAAGCACACAAGTTCACGCATGTGCTTTAAACACATCATGTCTGTGCTGTTTGTAACTAATGGCTGCTCCCTCCCCTCCAGTCCCTTCCTGAGCACTGTCCCTGGCGTGTGGTAGCCTCTGACCTCCAGATTTGCCTCCTCCTCAGGGTTTCAGTTTCCTCTGATGATGGACTTTCAGGCTCCTGCCTTGGTTCTGTTATGAATGCTCTGGTGATGATATGCTTTCCCACAGGGTAAACCTTGGTGCAATTAGTTTTCCTCTAGAAATCAAAGCCTGGGTGAGAGATGTTTTTAAGCTTCCTAACACTGATTGTCAGAGTGCTCTCCAGAGGAGTAGGCCGGACTTGGCCAGGGCCACGCCACCCAGAGAAAGTCTCAGGGTCCTGGCTGCACGCTGGGCTTCACTTCATGTGAATATTTGTGGGAGTTGTCCTCAGTGCTGTCATATGGGCTGAGAACCCTCAGTGCTGCCACCAAGCAGAGGGTGTATGATTCTAATACTTTCCTGTTCCACGTACACTCGCCTGAGCTGCTGCTTTGCATCCTTTTAACGCTGTAGCTCAAGGCTTTCCCTGATGTGGCTGCCTCATCTTGGACTTTCAGCATCCCGAACCGGGAGCTGATTAACCTGCTTTTCTTTATAAATCACTCAGAGTCTAGCATTCTGTTATAGCAATGGGAACTGGACTGATGGGTGGCATCTTCTTATTACAGCCTTTACGTCTGAGTCCTTTAGGGTAAACCTTTCTGGTATTTATTGATCCTTCATGAAAAATGTTCTTCATTTCATGTCTAGCCATTCATTCACTCATTCATCAGTTCAGGAAGCAGCATTGCACACCTGATGTCAGATTTTGACTCCAACAGTGTGAGACCTGGGGCCTGCCCTTGGTTCTGGTTCTCTGAGGAGAGACATAGAGGGTCTTTGAGCACAGCATGAGGCAGGGTGTCATAGAATGTGGAAAGGTGCAGGGACCCCAGCTCCAGATACATCCTGGGTGCCATTGGGAGTTTGGCCAGGGAGATTTAGAGAGAATAGGATGATCTTTTACTGCTGTTCTTGTTTTCCCAGAGGCCGAGCAGATGTTCCTGTACTTTCCACATTCAGAATCCCTTTTCCTGGAATAAGTGGCTCCTCTTGTAAATCACCACCTCAGGCTCTGTGTTAGAGCACAGAAAATGGACTAAGACCCTAGTTGTCCCCGCAAGGCTCCCAGGTACCTGCAGCAGAAAGCCCTATACCTCCATGCCTGTAGCTTCCTCATGTCAGAATGGTCACTGGAGCCAATCCTTTGGTGTCCTGATCACCGCTTTTCTCTGTACCCTACCCCCAGCTTCAGGGAACCTTCCAATCTACCTCCAGAGCAGAACTAGAACCTGCTATCCTTCCAGCTCATGTTGCCTGGCCACCTGGACCATGGCAGGGGCTTCTGACCCTGAAACATTTGCTCATCCCGCTGCCAGGAATGGGGTCCCTCCACAACAACTTCAGCCAGGGCCCTGCACCTGTGCTCCAAACTCTCGTGAGGCCTTGGAGCTCTGACCCAGGCTCATGTGACCTCACTGAATTTCTACTCACTTGGGCTTTGATGTCCTTCAGTAGCCATGTCTGATGAACTTTGAGGAGGAAGTCCTGAGTCGGTTTCACTGGGAGGAGGAGATGAAGGTTCCAGCAGCTCCTAGGGCTCAGCACATAGCACCCCAGCTCCAGCATCCTCTTTTGCTTCTGTTGCTGTTCCTAGCAGCTGCTAAGGCTGCTAGGGTTCTCCTGCCCCAGGGTCTTTGTAGTGGCTGGGTCCTTCTGCAGTTCTGTGGCTTCCTCCTCATCCCTTCAAATGCTTATACAGAGATTTGCCTCTCTCTGCACCTTCTCTGATCTCACTATTTAAAATCATACCCCCCCACTCTTTACCCGGATTTATTTTTTCACTGCACCTTCTGAATTTTGGTGTATGCATTTCTTATATTTTCCATCTCTACCCACTGAATGCAAGCTCAAGCCTGTCATCTCTTGGCTTGCTTCTCTTCCCAGTGCCTGGCACGGATCAGGCATAGGCATTTGCTGATTGGCAACAGAGGCAGGATTACTGCTCTTAAACTTAAGCTCCTTTTATTATTTTGTTTCAGCAGATGCCAACATTTCCTCCCAGTAGAGCTGGCCTTACATAACTGGAGTTAATTGTTCCAGTTAGAGTGGGAAGACAGATTGCCCGAGGAACATGGGGGAAAGAAGAAAAATCCAAGCAGTAGATTTTGACACTTGTTTCTAATGTATCTGGAACTGCAGGAAAAGAGAAGCTCTGTAGAGAGTAGGTTTGTCTGAATGAGGCCAAGCGGAAGCCAGAGTGATGGTCCAGGGAAGCCAGGCCTAGAACACAGAACTTGTGTCTTTAGGAGCAGTCGTCAGAGGAGGCGGACACAGGGCAAGCAGTGACCTCTCTCCAGTCCCCATACCTTCCCCTCTTCAGGAGCCACGCTGTTGGGACCCTTAGGGCTGCACTGAATGCAGCTGCCTACCTTGGGCTACTCTTGCGCTGCCCGAGTTGGGGGTTGGACAGCTTGGGCACCAGAAGTCTTCTTTCTGCTTCCTGGGCTGTAGGCTTCTGCCTTCTGCTCCCCTGTGCTCTCTCTGCCTGTGTGGACCCCATACCCTGCAGGAACAACCCTTAGCTGCCAGGAGGCAAGTGGCTTTGTTTTCTACCATGATGAGCTGCCTGACCACAAGCCCTAAAATAGTGAGCTCAAGTGACCATGGACTGGAGTCTCTGAGACAGTGAGCCTACATGACACTTACCTTCCTGCTGGCTGTTGTATTATAGGGATATAAAGGTGACAAACACATTTTTTTTTTTTTTACCCTTACAGTCTCTCATGTACATGTCCTAAGGTCAAGAGCATTGTCTTACCCAAATTCAGGCCAGTGACCACTGTCATGACACAAACATGGCACACAATACTGTCTGACCCACATTTGTGAATTTTTCAAGTGCATTTAGTCATCAGGCCTCCGCAGTCTCCTGCAATCCTGAATAGTTCCTCAGTCTTCCTTGTCTTTGTGGTCACGTCCTTTTTGAAGTTACACAGGACAGTTACTTTGTGGAATGTCACCGGTTTGTTAAGGGATTAGGTGTGGGGCCTTTAAAGAAATTGGAAATGAGGTTGGCTCCTCATGTTATCACAGCAGGAGGCCGCAAGGGCCATCAGTCTGTCCCTGTGCTGACAGGTACTGGCTTTGGTCCAGGGTCAGGTGGATGCTCCATGTTTCTCCAGTGAAAAGTTATTGTTTTTCCTGTTACAATCAATAGTCATTTTACGGGGACATATGGTTACTTCATACTTTTAGACTCACACTAAGTTTAGTATACAATGGTAATTCTTGCCAAAATCAATTGTTAGTATGATTATTATCAAATCATTGTGATTCTATATCATCCTTTAAATATATATTTATTAATGACTTTCATTATACAGTAAGAAAAACTGCCATCTATCTGTCTGTCATCTATCTCTCCTTTACTAATGCTCAATGTCTCGCTTTATTCAGTAGCTTGTACTCTCATCATCTTCTATTGCGATGTTTACATGACCTCAGGGTTGCTCTTGGGAGCCCACTAAGCTGGCTTCTGTGTCCTGTGGACATGGCCCCTTTTTCTCTGACCTTGTCCTTACTTTCTCACATGACAAGGGGTCCAGGTTCAGTGTAGCCTGTCTTTAATCCAGCCTCAGAAGCAGTAAAATTAGGACTCCTACCTGAGTGTAGAGCTGCTCATTGCTAATGGTGTTCCTCATCCCAGCACTTTTGCTTTTAAGGGACTTTTGACAATGTCTGGACACAGGTTTGCTTGTCCCATGCTCAGGAGAAACGTGTTAGCGCCATCTAGGGGGCAGAGGTCAGGGATGCCAACCAACATCCTGCAGAACACAGCTCCTGAACAAAGAATTACTGGGTTCCAAAGGTGCTTAGTGGGGAGCTGAGGTCCTTTGTTCTAACCTTTTGGCTGACAGAGCTGGAATATACACAGGACGACAACTGCAGGCTTTTCATTGTCAGTTTCTACATTGAAAACTATGAGCTCACATTGACACCAGTTCTAACACAATAGAGTTCATTCTGGTGCATCCTTTACCTCCGCCAATAAACCCGGATCCCATTATCATCATTGATTCCTTTACAGTGGGACCTTGACTTATGAACTCAGTTTGTTCCTGAGGGCTGGTTGTAACTCAAGTTGGTCAACGAAAGATCCGGCTCCTCCACAGTTTTCAAAGTCTCTCTCCTGTACACAGGCAGATCTCAGTGTCCTTAGAGAGACATTGGTCCAGGATTTCTGTTAACCTCACACAGGAAAGGATGCTGTAAGATTCCTTCCAGAGCTCTTGAAGGGTTAAATCTGTATCTTGAGACCATCTGCAAGCACAAGTGGCCAGCATTTATTTGGGTCATAACTCAAGTTATTTTGTAAGTTAAAACTAAGATTCTGGTCACAACCCAAGTTGTTCATATGTCAGGGCTGGTCACAACTTGAGGATCCACTTTAGTTTTCTAATTCTAGAATCTGGAGAAAGTGAATCAGTAGTCTAGATCCACGTTTCCCAATTTGTTTGCAGATTTGACTTCTGAAGTCCCCTCTCTTGAAAACAAAGGGGTCTGACGATCAAAGTCATCTGTGAAAAGTCAAATAGATTTAATCAACTCCTTTATTGCAGGTATTTTTATGTGCTTTATGCCTGTTTAATGTGTACTGATATCTTCATGAGGAGATGTTTAAATGCAGAATACTTGCAATGTGTTTATTCAGGAATCCTGGAAATTTTAATTAGGAGCATCTATGAACTCACAGAGCCTCATGTAGAGTATACTGCCTACAAGAATTTGTAAAACACCCTTTTGACTTTTCACATCCTACAAGGGGCCATTCTGGATTTGGCCACGAACATAAAGAGTTTGGCACTTTGGAGGAAACTCAGAGCTGGAAAACACCTGTAGAGCACATTTGCTCCAGAATAACACACACTTCTGTTGTAAGGGATTCTGTGTATGTGCTGCAGGTATGTGTGTGTGTATGATTTTCTGTGTGTATATGTGATTGTGACTTTGTACATGTGTGACTCTATATGTGTGTGACTATGTGTGCTGTTGTGCATGTGATTCTGTACAGGCGACGGTCATGTGTCGTCCTAGAGGAGTGTGATTGTGTGTTCATGACCTGGACAAGTGGCCAGGCAGCAGTCCCTGAGGGAGTGCACGAGGGGCTCCTGCTGACCCCCTTGGAGCAGTGCCCCCCAGGAGCACTTCACTGCCTTTCTCTGGGGCACTGGCTTAGGGGCTGGGCTGTCAGAGCATGTGTGTTTCCTTGGGGACCATCACCCAGGACACAGGCTCACTTTGCCTGATATACTGCCAGCTCCAAGCACCCTCCATCCTGAGACCCCAGGCCTGAGGGAGGGTGGGGTGTGCATGAGCACCCTGTGAGCTTCTAGGTCCTTCCCTTGGTTCTTACATCAGCTGGAGACACTGTCTGATTCCTCCCTGCTGTAGCCTCAGCCATGTCATGGGGCTCAGTCAGTCATGTGTGGATTTAATGATTGCATCCTTCGGCAAGAGTTATAACATGCTTTTCCCCCACTGTGCAGTGGAGGAGACTACAGCATCAAGCACATGGTAGGAATCATCATGTGGGACTGGCAGGCCCCACTGAGACCTCTTGGCTTCCCAGCCCTGTCCAAGGTCTCACTCTCTAAGGACCTCCCCTCTATAAGGTAGGTGTGGTGAGCTCAGCCTGCCTCGGTCATGTTCTCACTGGCAAGTGTGTACCTCCTTGTTTGGGGTCCATGAAGAAAGGCAATGTGACATGGACTGTGATGTGTCAGCCTGAATAAGAACAGCGTGGAAATTTAGTAAAGCACAGCTCTGGGTGTGTTGGTGGATGATTGACACGGAGGCCACCAAACTATGGGTGAGACTCATCTCTGATGTGGTGGCACCAGCTAATAGGCTTGTAACCTGGGTGGAATAAAAAGGGAAAGAAGAGCTGGGATTTAGCTCAGTGGTTCTGCTGCCTGCCTCACAAGTACAAGGTCCTGACTTCAATCCTCAGTACAAAAACAAAACAAACAAAAAACAAAAGGGAAAGAAGCAGGAAGCATGCTTGTTTTGAAGCACTCCAAGTTTCCCTAGTGGGTGTATCCTTTGCACACCTTTTATAGGGGCCTCTGGAGGGTCCACATAGGTAAATCACTGCAGAGACCCTCACAGATTTGGAGGAGGCTCTCGCACCATCTGCAGACTGCCACAGTTCCTCTGGTCTGCTGCTGGACCTTAGTGGAAACTGAACATTTGAACATGGGATGTCATGTGACTGACCTGAGCTGCCCATCATGAGCTGGGTACTCTGGCCCACCAGATCATAAAGTTGGATGTGCCCAGCAACAGAACATCATAAAATGGAACTGGTTTATATGTGATTGGGATGAGCAGATCAGGAAGGTACAAGTAAGTTTCATGAAGGAGTTGCCTAAATCCTTCTCTTGTTATGTTGCCTTTTGTCTCCTCTTGTTACATTGCCCCTGTGGCTTCATGGGTGTACTGTATGGTCAGCTGATAGAGGAAGGGATGACTAGGGCCTGGCTTATACATGGTTCTGCATGTTATACAGGCTGAACTAGAAAGTGGACAGCTGCAGCATTACTACCCTTGTCTAGGACATCCCTGGGCAGTGGAGAAGGGAAATCTTCACAATGAGCAGAACCTCAGGCAATGCACCTGGTCACATATTTTGCTTGGAAGGAAAGTGGCCAGATATGCAATGTAGCCAATGATCTGGCTGGATCTTGAGGTCTTGGGAGAAGGAACACGGCTGGAAAATGCATGGCAAATGCATTTGAGGAAGAAGTATCTGGAACCCACAGTGCCTCGGTGGCTCCTGCTTCAGTCCAGAGGACTGTGTATTGGGCTTCTGGCTCTAGTGGGCTTCATGGGGTCCAGACCTCTTTGTCTCATCACCTTCACACCTCCAAGGAACAGAGGCTGCTCTTCAAGTATGGACTGAGAAACACGAAGACCCAAAATCCATAGCAATCCAAAATCTAAAATTTGTTGAGCATCAGCAGGGCTCCACAAGTGGAAATTTCCACACTTGAAACTTTGTTTCATGCATGAAATTTGTAAGAAGTTTTAGGGTTTCCTGTGACACAGAAACAACTTCATGTTAATTATGTTGCTTTCGTATCTTGGCTTTTATAGGTAGATTAAATATAAATGGGACAAATGTTTATAATAGATCATTCACGTATACTTGTCTCTACTAAATATGTTTTCATCCCATAGAAAGGGGTTAGGATTGCTTTATTCTTTGTTCCTCATTAAATATAAGATTACTAAGAGTTAAAATTCTAATGTATAATTCCATAAAAGGAAATATATATTTCTATTTAAAAATAACATTTTATCTTACTATAATGAAAAAAGTGACTTTCAAATTCAGAAATTTTGAAGTTTGTCTTAGAGGTAAATTTAAAGAATGAGGACAAGGCAGAAAGAAGGGAGAGAAGTAAAGGATATGGGTCAGAGAATATTTTGGTCAAGAAAAGATTTGTGTAGTGAGAAGTTGAACTAGCAGAAATTAAGAAGAAAGATGAGGACAAAATTAGGAAGTTTCTGTAAGTCACAAAAACTTTGTCAGTGATGAAATTCATGAGAGAAAATTTCTAAGTATGCGAATGATTTCACGAACTCTTTAAAGAGTTTTTTTTAAAAAGTCAAAATTTCTAACTACTGTGAAATCCAATTCTGTGTTTAAAACAATACTGTTTTAAAATGATGCACTCAGTAAAAATTTACAGAAAGTAATCTAAGAAAAGGTTTGTGTTTATCAAGATAATTTCTTCTGTTTTCTTCTGCTGGGTTTTTGAGTACCAAGGAAACTGAGTCTTAATGGAGTCTGGGTTTGTTTAAATGATTAGCTTATAACTGTGATTAAATGAACATCTGTTAGTTTAGGTTGCTATAGTATGCTTGGCTGTTCCTATGTCTGAGACTAGAGATGTATAATGCAAGGACCACCCACACTGTGAGAATGGGCAAAGGTGGTGAAACTAATGATTCGTGAGCTTGATGCATGGGCAGTAGCCAGTAAGTGCTGTCTCACGCAACATGTACAGCATCTGCACCTTCAACTTACAAACTGGCCAGGAAAACCTAACATTTCTGTGGTTATCCAAGACCATTCAGGTGTGCGTGTCGGGGGATGTTCCATGTAGACAACCCTGCTATTTAAACTATGGGCTACATCTACTGGCTGTAACTCAGTAATTTACTGCACAAATGAGACACGCTTGTATATAAGTCTATTTGAGGTCATGAACAGTGTTTCTTAATCTTGTACGAGATTGAGAGCCGTTCTCTGATTTTTGACACTATGGTTAAACTTTGAAGATGTCTTAAGTACAAAATTACATGATTATGGCTATACTATTGAGCCATCAGTTGTGAATTTTGCCTTAAAAGTGAAAAAGTTTAGGCGATATATAAACATTTTTAGGCAACAATGCTGCTAATTACTACTGACTTCTTTGTATGTCAAATGCTGCCACTTCCTAAGTGTGCAAACCTTCTAAAGTATAGAACTGAGGAAAATACTTTGACACAGTGGTTCTCACCCCCAACACCAACATTGTAAAGATACACATTTATCAGGGTGCGTTCCTAATTGGATTAGAATAATTACATATGGTTAAACAAGGCACTCCAAAATTGGTGACCCAAAAGACACATTTGTAAGCAAATATATTCTACTTATAAGGACTCTAATTCTGATACAACCTGACTTATTATGTTTCTTAAACTATTATGCTGTTTTGCTCTTATTATCTCTGTTTTGCATTTTCTGTGTAATAGTTTGGAAGTGTGGTCTATTCGCATTCCTCAGGGCTACGGTTTGTAAGAGAAAATGTGAACAGGATTTGGGGAAGACAGGCCATTCCCTGTGAGATGGATGGGATCTGACACAGGCTTCTCATATCCAGAGAGAATTACAACAGGATTAGAGTTACTGCCCCACATGGAGACTCGTATAACTGACCTTCTGGCTGTTCAACAACTGGGGCTTGGAGACCAAAGCTAAGGGATACAAAAGGACAAAGAGGACTGCCAATAATTTGGTCCTTCAAGGTCATCCAGGATGCAGGTCATAACAGGTCCCCTCTGCCAGGGCCCTGCACCTGCAGTGAGTCAACCAACCTCCTGAGCAGGGGGATTTTGGGGCCCCAGAGGACAGGAATTCTCCAATGTGCATTGTGCTAAAGGAGGGTCACTACAGAGGGGAGTGTCCCCATACTTCCAAAGCAGTCATATGGTCACGCAAGGCCACAGACAATCTGGGCAGATGACACAGCTGGTAAGTATCTGAGACCCAAAAGGCTTTGATCTTCACATGTTCCCAAAAGTAACCACTGAGAAGACTTGACTGACCTTAACAGGAAAGGGAAGCTAGTTTGGTAGTATACTGGGTCTCAAGCATTCAATGAGAAAGTATAACCAGAGTGAAGTAATTATTAATATCTCTAAAAAATCAGAGAGCTGGGGATTTAGCTCATGATGTTGAGCCAATCTGGCAAGCACAAGGTCCTGAGTTTGATAGCCAGTTTTGAGGTGGGGGGAGTGTGTGCTTTCACCTCTTTCTCTTCAAGATTAAGGAAAATAAACTCTCTCAGAGAGGAGAGATATCGTCATAACAGAGTTAGAGGCCACTGTATGGTGTGGGACAGGCATACACCTGGCCCTTGCTACCTGCTCATTACCAGTGGGATCTGCATTTTCTTCTGGGACATTCAGGGACTTAATCACCATTTTTGCTATGAACCATGGCTCTTCACTTGAGCTGCAGATGCCTGATAAGTGACTAACAACAGAACACAGCTCAACCATTATATTTGTGTCTTTATCACAGTAAATCCTGGAGCAGATCTCTTCTCAGATCTTCATAGTCCTGCTGATCATTTAAAATCTGGTTGGACCGGGTTGACCAGCCCTGAATTCAGAAGGTCTCATCCCCTTCAAGATTGAGGACACAAGATGAGAGGTTTACAGGGACATTAAGCTACACCCAGAAGTCTGCAGCCACCGCCCTGAGCCTCTGATCACCTGGATTCCAGGGAAGAGAGAGCCCCACGTGACTGAGTCCCCCACAGATTCAGAGTTCTCTTCTGGAAAGGAAACCATCCCGCAGCTATCACGATCCCAGAACCAAGTCTGAGAGAGGAGACAGTGATCACTGGGACCCCAGCCCACCAGCTTAATCCTTGACAGCTGCCTCCTGCCTCTGCAGTGGGCTGGTCTCAACCCCTGTATCAGAGTGAACCCCTCCAGCCACCTAAGGTGTCCTCTCTCTGACCTTCCAATTAAAGCTTCTTCCTGTAAATAATACTGTTAACAATTACCTTCAGACTATATGTACAAGGTGCACATGAAACCGGAGTGTGTTTCTTTCTTGGATGTGGGTCCCAATCCCAGGTAATCTTATCAGACATATGAAGATTTCCCACAATCCCACAGATCTCAGCCCTGAAGCACTCTGGTCTCAAGCACTTTGCCTAAGGGACTCTCAGCCTGAAGTTAAATAAGCCCCCATCATGAGCCACAGGAGCCTTGAGGCTAGACCCGGACCAGGGGCCCTGCTCAGGTGGTCACTGAGGCTGGGATGGAGTGGGCACCCTGATGTGCTGACCAGATCACCTTCTTCAAGCCCAGTCCCCAGGGCAGAGCCATGTCCCCGAGGACAGGTGGAGTGAGTGTACAGGAGGGCGGACCTCACAGGAAAAGGGTGATGGTGAGAAAGTGCGGGGCCTCAGTGACCATGACTCGGCCCCACCTCAGGGGTGTGTGATGGTGCCCAGGAGGATCCATGTGACAGTCAGACGTCACAGAGCTGTGCGAACAGCTCCCCCAACCCTTTCCGTGCACCCAGAAACCATACCACACAGAGGGAGCTGATGCAGATTTTTACTGAGCAAGGCAGGGGCGGCTGTGTGCGTTGCATTACAGGTGTGGTTGTGACGCACAGGACAAAGGAAGAGGGGACAGCACATGAGTGTACGTGCTGCCTGGACGCCAGGTTCTAGGGCACCAAGGGGCTTTCCCCAGGACCAGGCTCCATTTTGAGGTTGGGGACACTGCAGCGGATATGGGTGAGGCATGGTTGTTGTAGCCTGGCCACAGCAGAACCTCAGACACTGCGACAGCTGGAGCTATCCAGGTGGATATAGTACTCCCAGGCCCTGAAGTTGACCACAAAAGAGCAGAGCTGCTTCTGCCAAAAGAAGAGAGAAGGACAGTGAGTACGGGCTCAGGAGAAAGGGAAAGTGCCCGGCCACGAAATGTCGGGGGGAAGGAGTGATGGAGGGGAAGACCCCACATGGCTGTGTGACCAGCTCAGGGGTCCCAGGTCCTAGTTCTCCCACGTCTCCCAGGGAACAGCCATGCAGGGCCAGGAGCCCAGAGGGCATGGGATAGGGCAGGCGCTCACTACCCCAGTTTTTCCACCTAAGGCCAGGGCAGCACTGAGAGGGCACCCAGGGAAGAAGCAGGCCTGGGAACCCTGAGACAGGTGGAGTTGGCAGAGTGAAGGGACTCAGTGCCCTTATCTCTGGCCTCCAAGGACCTGCCTGTCAGGAGAGGCTAGAGGCTGAGGGCAGCCTGGGGGTCCCAGACCTCTCAGGCCTGAACTGCTCAGTGGGGCTCTAGGGTTGGGTGGGGCTGGGACTCAGCAGAGCTCTCCCTCCTCTCCAGCCCTGCTGCTGCCCTCCCCAGCCCAGCAGGAGCACCCAGAGGCAGGGGTCACCTCCCAGCACCTCACTTCCCAAGGTTCACTCACCACTCAGCACTCACCTGTGCACACCCCTCCCCTACTGCCCCTGGGTGCCCTGATGAGCATGAACACACACTCACATGCACTGCGCACCTGAGGGTATCTACTCCCGAACCACCACATTCCACACATGGACAGGCAGAGGCACACACACACACACACACACACACACACACACACACACACACACACACACACACACCCCACATGACACATACTTCACTTCCCACACATGTGGACACATTCACCTGTCCGCATATGTGCATCTTCACCACCTATCACAACCCACGTGCATGCACATTCATCCCCCCACATCGCACATGTGTATGTTCACACATGCATTGTTACACACACAAAACACCATCTCACACCCAAACACACACACATTTCCCCTACTTGTGTTGTGTCTGCCCACATCAAGTTCCTACCTGCTCCTCAGTGAAAGGACAGTCCTCCTGGTTGGACTGGGACTTGGTACATGTGGTTCTGCCCATCTCCAAGTCCAAGTAGTAGTTCATGCCCATCCCGATCTAGGGTAGAACAAGCAGGACTCAGTCAGAGTTCCATGAACCTCACTTGCTGCAGTTACTCCCTGTGTTAGAGTCACTGTGCTCGCCAGGGCTCAACCCAAACCCATCTCCCACCCTCGGGGTGCCAGATCTTCCTGCAGTACTGTCCTGAGGAGTACTCCACGGAGGTACAAAGAGGAGTCTCCTGAACCAGAGGAAGAGCCCAAACAGGGAACAGGCAGGTAGGAGCCTCTGATCTGGACTGTGGGAGGGGAGGCCAATCAGGGAGAAGCCAGGAGGTGGAGTGAGCACTTTCTGTCCAGGAGGCAGGGCAGGTCCAGTGCCAGCAGTCTCTGTGCCCACACAGGATGCACTAACACTGCTCCAGGAGAGCTGCGACCTGAGGCTCTAACACAGCTGATCTCTAAGAGACCACATTCCTCAACCACCTGACTCCTCTTTCCTGGCTGAGCAGCAGAGGGTGCGCTACTGCCCACTGGGATGGTTCAGGAGATGCCTGGCACTGTTTTAAGACCCTTAAGGGCTCACTGGGTGATGTCACAGAGAACACAAACAAGGGGAGCTGGCTACAACGTCACAGCCCATGCCATCTTAGGGACTCCCTCACACCCTCATCCGTCCTTGCCTAGAGCCCCATTGCAGCTCACGACTTTTTCCCCAGCCTGCCAGACCCAGACAGGCCATGGTCATAAGCACAGAGCTTCTGCTCTAGTGAAAAGGAAGCTGAGTCAGGATGGGCTGCAGGGCCAGGGAGCGTCCTCAGTGGACATTGGCCACACCATGTGAAGCTCTGTGGGCAACGGAGCATGAGAGTGGCTTCCTGAGGTCAGCCTGGTCCTGGGCGTGGAGAGAAGGTCCTCACAGGCAAGCAGTGTACACTGCATGGTGCATCCCACAGGATCAGGAGAATCCACACATCCGCACATAGCTCCACATGCTATGGGGAGCCAGGGACAGGGCCCACGTGGCCAAGGGTGACCATGGGAGGAAAGGGGCAGGGCCCAGGACACCCTCTGCTCCTGCTGTGCCTGCTCTGCAGCTCTGAGATCGCGTCAGAGCTGAGAGCTAAAGGACAGGGAGCTGGAAGTCATAGGGGGAGGGAACAGGCATGGGGTCCCTATCTCTACTTTATGGTCACTTGGTTCACAGTTTACACGGACCCTAGCCCAGGAGGTGGTGGTCAGGAGTAAGTTCAGGGACTCTGACCCTGGACTGGAACCTGGTACCTCTGCCAGCTGGGACTTAAACCAGGTCTAAGGGCCAGGTGTTACCCACACAGTCCATCAGGGTCCAGGCTGGACTTTGTGTACAGCAATTCAGGGACTCACTCAATAAGGGGTGCAGGGAGAGAGAAATCGCAAGGACCGGATTGAGTGAGAGGCACAGGGTTGTCAATCCCAGAGGGGCTCCCTGGACAAGGCAAGGGGCTGCAGAGCAGGCAGAGCACCTGGGGTGGATATGGGGGTGGGCAGGGAGCAGAGGGAGGGAGCGGCAGGGTTTGCAGGACGACAGTACCTCCTGTGCAGCCCTTCTCAGTCCCAGTGACCACGCACCTGCTGACGGGCACGCACCACCCGCACCAAACGGCTGAGGTTCTCGTCTTTGCTGTTTTTGTTGTACTCCTTGATGGTGAAGTCCACTACATACTGCACTTCCTCATCGTTGATGTCTGCATCTTCCATTTCTCCCATTAGGCGAGGTCTCTCTGGGGAGATCTTAAAGGCAGTGGAGGTCATGGCCAGGCCCAAGACCACAGCAGCCAGGAGCAGCACAGCGACACGCAGGGACAGGGCCATGTCTGCGGGACACAATGCCAGAACTGTAGGTCTCAGAGGGCAGTGATCCAGAGGCCACAGTGCTGGCCTGGTGCAGCCCTGTTTTATCCTCTGAGGCTCCAGCCCCTACCCTCCATCCCTCCCCAGACTCCCAGCCCAGCTCCTCCTTTCCCTGGTGGCCCCTCCCCTGTGCTGTCCCTCCTTCTGGTTCCTCCTACTCTGTCCCTCTCTCCTCCAGGCTAGGGGCTTCCTCCCTCATCCCTCCTTCTTCCCATTCCCTGCCCCCAGTCCTACTCCCCTAACTCCTTACCTGTCCCTCTTCCTGAGCTCTTCCAGGTTTGTGTCTCCCTGTTCTCCAGAACTCTCTGGTCCCTAAAGTCCCTGCGACTCAGAACTCTGTATCTGCAGGAAAGTGGGAAGAGCAGTCCATGTTTCCCAGAGAGCTCTGAGGTAGGGGGCCTCCTGGGTCAAGGTCAGGGAATCCTGGGAGGAGGAAGGTGATTGTAGAGGTTCCAGGAAGACCCAGGCCCTAGGAGGGAGGAACTTCTCTGCCATGCAGAAGTGAGCTTAACTTTACTTGGGCAAGGGCTCTCCTTAAGGACCTATGATCAGTCAATCAACATATCTTCCAAGAACTACTCCCAGTCAGGTAGTCCAGGACAAAGATGGGGTACAGATGCCTGAGCCTGGAGAGGACACCTGGCAGCACCCCATTAGAGCTGTGGCACTGACCACGTGTGGCTTTCAATTTCAGGAGACACATTAGGAAAGTGAAAAGAAATAGGTGAGATGACTTTAATAATCTGTCTGTCTTTACACCAAATGTCATGTTATGATACAAGACGATTCTTAATGAGGTGCTTTATACTAAGTGTGTCCGTGTGTGCGCACATGTGTGTGTGTTCATGAATACATGGTAGGTCTTTGGAATCTGTGAGTGTTTGTGACCTAAAGGGCAGGTGTCCATGGAGAATGTTCCCATTTCTAGCCTCAGTGGCCTTGTGTAGTAGTGACTGAGCCCCAGATTCAGGGAGGGAATTTGGGGATGGAGTGACCAACTCTTCAGATCGGCTAATCATGGGAGTTCTGTGGGCAGGAGACGGAAAGACTGGGAACAGAGGTGGGGCCGCTGGGCACTGGCTGGAGGTGTCTTGGGTCCCAAGAGTACACAAGGTCCTGCTTAGCGCAGGATGTAGAGCCAGCAGAGGGCACAGCAGGGACAGGACTGGGGCTGAGTCTCACTGTCCTAGGAGCTGAGAGTCAGGGGTTCTCTGGCAGGGGCAGGAATGATCCCCTATCTCTGCCTTAGGGCTAGGGTCTTGAGGTAGGGATCAAGGTGGGGGTGGGAAGAACCACTAGGTGGACGGGGCTAATGAAGTATGCACTTCAGAGTGCACAGCCCCCTCCTGCTTCTCAACTCAGGGAGCCACAGTGCAGCTCTGCTCCCCGATGGACAAGATGATTGAGTGTTTACACACAGGGACACACCCCATGTCTCAGATTTAGTAAGCCATGCCCAGAGTGACCCCTCCATCAAAATCCAGAGCGATCACCACCTGGCCAGCCCTCTGGTGCCCTGCAGCCCCAGCTCATGGCCACCTGGCCCTGGGTCCTGGTCTGTTCTGGGCTATGCTCCTGTTTCTGAGCTTCCCAGGGATGAACTCACCAGGTGAATGCCTGTATCTGGATCCTTTCCTCAGCTTCCCTTCTGAGCTCCCCTCATGTCATTTCCTTAACCTGACTGTTGGCTTCTTTCTTCCCTAGTCAGAAAGGACTCAGGCAGCTGGGAACTACATGGCCACCAAAGCCCTGGCTTGAGACAGAGCAGGCCTGTCCAAAACAGGGCCCAGGAGAGGTGTGAGTGCAGGGCCTTGGGCAGAGAGTAGGCTCCTTTCTTCTCCAATCCCAGCCTCTCTGCCTGACAATGACCCAGGGACAGTGACTCTGTGGTGAAGATGGCTCGGTTTCCCAGGACTCTGGGCCCTTACCAGGCCCCAGCAGGACTGTGCTGCAGCCCAGAACTGCTGTGGACTTGGCTGGGATGGGAGGAGGGATCTGCTGGAATCAGATGTTTTATCAATATGTGTTAGAAGCTATTCTACATAATATTGGGGAAAAATCATTTCGTAATTAAAGGATGTCTATAGCTGTCTAAGGCTGTATGTCACCTTGCCCATGAGCCGGCTATGACGTGCCCAAACATAACTCCATTTTCGCCTCCAGTCACAGCTGAGACTTTGATGGTCCCATGATGCTGTGACACTCAAGGGCAAGATTACATCAGCTGAAGACATCCTCGTTCCTTGAGAACCCAGTAGTAAGAGAAAGATTTCACCTGGGGAGGAACAAATTCCTCATCAGTTTAACTCATCCCACCTATTATTCTAAGAGTGCTCTCTTTACTGCCTTCATCAACATACGACCCTCAATCCCTCTAAGATGATCATCAGCATAAGATCCACATCCACATAGGATTACAGCCACCCACTAAGTCACCTGATTCTTCCTCCAATTATTGTGTGTACCCAATACAGTGGCCAGCTCAGAGAGTCTTTGTTTTTGCCTGCTGTGAGGTACTGACCTCCCAGCCCCTTTTATACATTGAAATTACTTAAGTCTCTGTTGTCTTTTTTTCTTTAGCCCTCACTGTCTCCCTTTCTAGGAAGTTGGAGGATTGATCATTCTACCATAAGTAAATTTTCAAGTTCTTCATACTGAGCACGGCACAATGACTTCTAACCCCACACTATGAGTTAGGAACCCACAAGAAAATGCAGCCCCCATCGGATAAACCAGCCCTGTGGGCTGCCTTTTGCAGCTGTAATGGAGCAAAGGTCCCCAAACAAGGCAGCGCCTGACACTGTCCTGGTTTAATGGAGAGGTGGTGTCCCTGGGCAGCTTGGTCACCTCCAGGGTAGTACTGGTTTCCATCCAGGGCTCCTGTCTTAGGAGGGTGTTTCATGCCAAAGGTGAACTGAAATGGGCCATTCCTTCCCTTGTGGTTAGGAAGGAGGCACAGGTCACACAGTAGCTGGGGCGTGTTGGTGCAGTGTGTGCCGGCTGTACTGTGTGTGACTCCAGTGCCTGTGTGTTAAGGCACACAATGGGACATGCTGCGGTGGTGAGATCAGGTGACCCAGGGAACTCCATGAAGCCTGGCAAGTGGTAGAGGACTAGAATAAGGACAGACCTTCTCCACAGTGGTGAGTGGCCTTGGCAAAGGTCCTGCTGCTGCCATGTGATTCCCCTGAGAGGGGGCTGATTCTCCCTGACTACCTGGGGTCTGTGTAGGCCCTGGCTCTGCCCAGGTTCCTGAAGCCTCCAATTTTGGAAGGAGCCACAAATGCCCAAGACAACTGCCTACCTAGGACTGAGCTGCGGTCCTTAGGTGGAGCCCAGGAGGTATCTTTCTCTAAACAGAGGAAAAAGGAGGAAGCCAGGTATCACAGTCTACATGTATGGCTGCTGACCTCCTGGTCTGGTTTAGTAGAAGGAGAAATTAGGTGGTGGTGTTAGAGGGCAGGAATTCTTTATGATAGTCGCTGGTAAGTGAATATTAAGTAAAGCTATAATAAATAAATGACTAAGCACATAAACCATCACCTGAAGGGGTCAGAGGCTGGATGGAGTGGGCAGGCACTGGATTTCTGAGCTTGAAGGGTTGAGGCTTCAGACTTGGTGTTAGCACAGGGTGACTGCTGTGACTGTGCAGGGTGCAAGGCATGGTGGCCTCTGAAAAAGGACAGAGCAGCAGCTTCCTTCCTGGAGGGTCTGGAATGGGGTGAAGATACTGGCAGAGGGGGAACTGGAGGAGGGGGAAAGGGAGGTCAAGGATATAGAAGGGGGTGGGGTGAGGTGAAGGGGAGGAGAAAGGGGAGATGGAGGGGGAGAAAGGGAAAGGAGTGGTGCAGGGTCACGGGGAGGCGGGAGGATGATGTGTTTCCCGCTGGTGTTTTATTGTGAAAATTTTCGAACATATACCAGGATTGTAGCGAACACGACAACCCATCAGTATGTTCAGCTGGCATCATAGTAGATCCTGCTTATTGTGGTCCACCTGTTCCCTAAGTCCATCTGTTGTTGGATGGGTCAGTGTGAGCTGCAGACTCCATGCATCCCCCTGTGCACTTCTATCTGTGTCCCAGGGACCAGAGCTCGGGAGGGCTTCCCACAGTTTGCCTTAGTTGTGAAACACACAGATCTTAAACCTACACTGAATTTTGGCAAATGTATATCCTGTGCACCACAAACCCCCTCAGGGCCTGGGACCCTTCCACAATCCCCCGCCGGACACAGAAGGCCCCTCACACTCTGCCTGGGTCTTCTCTCATTACACAAGCTCTGTGCTAGTGTTTTTCACCATAGATGAGCTTGGTCTGTCCTAGAAGTTCAAGGCATGAAACTCTAGCGTGTGTAGACAGAATAGGCAGTGTAGATGGCGCTGCCTGGTGTGTCATTGGCCTGAAAAGCCTGAGCAATGAACTCGCTGGCTTTGCCTTCAAGGCTCTTTCTCTGTGCCTCGTGGCTTCCATGCTGCTCTCCGGCGGGCTCTGGTCTGAGTTCTGCAGCACAGGGGAAGGAGGCTCTGGTTGGGTCTGATTCTTTTCTCCTCTGCTCTTCTCTTATTCTCCTTTGTTCTTTTAAACTTGGAGCAACCCCTTTTCCCTCCAATTCCCCTTCTCCTCCTCCACCCTCCCTTTCTTTTTCTCCTAAAACCAGGATTTATTATTATTATTATTATTCTCCAGTACTAGAGATTAAATTCAGGGCCTTTGCTTTGAGCTACATTCCCAACACTTTTTTAAAGTTTTAAAAATTTAAGTCAGAGTTTCCCTAAGTCACTAAATTCCCTAGGCTGGACTCAAATTTGTGATCCTCCTGCCTCGGCCTCCCAGAGTGCTAGGGTTGCAGATGTTCACCATCCAGCCTAGTTGCCCTCGTGGTTCTTGTCTTCAACATATACCACCTACCCATCCACTTTCTACCAGGCACTGACACCGCATGAGGCCCCACCAGAGGCTGAGCAGGTGCTCCTGGACTTTCAGCCTCCAGAACTGCTTTTCCTGGAATGAGTTGCTCCTCTTGTAAATCCCCAGCCTCAGGCTCTTTGATAGAGCACAGAGAATGGAC